TACATAATGCAGCGTCCCCTCCCCACCACCACCCCTGGGTTGTCAGGCCCCTGAGCAGTTGGCTTCCCATTGAGCRATTTCGTTAAATAGTCCTGCTGTGGGATTTAAATAAAACAAATATTTAATTTTGTCTTAGTTTATGTTTTACTCCAACTGATTTTAATGATTGAAAGATATTTGGTTGTGCTCTGTACCATGACAAATAAACTGATTCTGATTTCTATTTATTTATTTCTGTTGCTTTTATGACTTCTATCATGTAGCACTTTGAGATTTACACACGTAAAGTGCTCTATAAATGTGATCCATTATTATGAGTATTTGTTTGAGTTAAAATCCCCTGCAGCTTGTGTTTTTTCTGTGTAAGCCGGACRACATACCTTGCTGGGCTGCTTTGGCTTTGGTTTGATACTGATGAAGACATCCAGCTGCTCCATCAGTGCTGTGATGCACTGTGGCTCCACCTCAACATCCTCTTTGATATCAAACATTAAAACTAGAGGCAAGCAACCCTGTGGGGTAAAAAAAATATATAAATATATATTAAAAAAGTCAAAATAATACCTTTAATTCCCATGGTAGCACACTGTAACCCATCCACACATGCAAATGACAATCTTTCACTGAAGTAGTCAACTTGTACTACTTATAATACTAAATCCKTTATAGGCCCATATGCAAGCCATACCAATAAATAGAACATTCGTTTCTGGATTCAGCCCTCATGGAGTTTGGGAAATTCCACCAAGTAAGATCTCTTTCGCACGATCACCACCACAGGCACCACACAGACGTCTGTATTTTGGGCTGCAAACTGGACAGCTCTCTGAATGTGAGCGGGTGTAATTAGCAGYGGAGTATAGATTCCGGCTGGCTTTGACAGGGACTGAGATTAGAGCAGTAATCTACAGTTCGGCTRCAGTTAGCAATCTACAAGGACCAAATCATGCAGCACAATTCTTGCGGTTTTCACTTTCTCCTGCCTGTCTCAGTAACCCACCTAGTCCWATTATCGCCGTTCTGTTAGACTCTCGATCCAACTCCCATCATTCAGGAGTTTTTACTTCTACCTCAAAGTGAAAGTAAAGACGTCTTGTGTGTCCGATTTCAAGACTTAGGGAAAGCCATGTTTAGTCACTGATGCAACTCTGGCACTCCCTAAAATGTRTTTGGGACCAACTGGGAGACCGCAGACGAAGACAAGCAGCACTTGCAGAATTACCATCCCACACTATGAACCTCGAGGCAAAAACCAAACGTTGTTTACTGCTGAGATGTCTTTAGCTGGAGCTGAAGCCAGCAGCGATTAAATGGTCATTACTTTTACACATTTCTGAATGAGACTTCTCATTATATTCCTGAGTTATTTAGTAACCACAGTGGTCATGGGCAACCAGACAAGAATGGCCACTGAGCATTTTTAACTAAAAGACAAAAAATAAATAAACATATGAGTTAGTCTTGATTCAAAACGCAAGTGCTAACAGAGCAAAAAAAGGGGGTTAAATTCCAATCTATCTCTAGCACACACTGGCCAAACCCTTATCATTACGTCCAACAAGAAAAACCTGTAAATGAACAAAATATGAAGAACTCCAGCCAAACTCATTCAAATGCGTGTCAGTCTTACATGCAGATATGTGACAACTACAAATCATATTGGCTCATGGGTTAGAAGCAGATTATTAATATTATTATTTTTATCTAATATTTCAGCAGTGTGAGCAAGGCCAAGCAAATCCCTCCTAAGGCTAATGAAACCTCCTGAGGCGATCATGGTTTACATCTCAACCTCCCTTTTCCTCATCTAAAAAAACCCACACATCATTCACACACACATCATGACAATGTTAATGAGACGATGGTATTCATTATAGCTACCGCACGGTAAAAGGAATCTGCATATGTAAGGAATATGCTACCAATGCAGTCTTTTAACCACGAAACACAGTTTAGTTTAGAATAATTCATTTCAACCAGAGTATTGGATGTTCATAAATACACACCATGAGATACTGCCGTGCGAGGCAGACCGACTCGATGGTCCCCTGAATGTAGACGGTGGATTTTTTCTGAGGGCCRTTTGGGTCGGGAAAGTGGATCTGCRCTCCTGTTCTTTGGGTGATGTGCTTGATGTTGCTGCCATTGCGTCCCTTCATGAAAAGGTGGTGTTGCGGTGCGATGTCCAGGTGGGTGGTGACAGAAATGGTGCTCGCCAGGCTTCCAGCCAGGTGCTCCAACAACAGCGCTGTGCCTCTCTAGGAAAACAACAAGGTGCTGTTAAAGCAGAGAGAAAAAACAAAACAAAACAAAACAACAATATGTAACCATACATAAGATCTATATAAATCCTAAATACTGTACATACAAATGACCACAAAACRTATGAGCTATGCTTCTTATGTCAATTTGCTGAAAAATCTAAAACAAAATCAAAATCTTTAAATGGACAAAAATTAAACATTTGTGGCATTAATGCATTACAGAATGCATTGGGTGWAACTACAAAAAGGCTTTTGTTTCTGTTCAACCACAACTATTATTTCTATCAATAACATGTTTTTTTTTTTTGTCTCTCTTCCAGAAGAAGGTGCACCTGGACCAGTTTTTCTATGTTTGTCTGCGTCTCTTTCCTGTCCCCCCAACCCAGCCGGTCAAGGCTGATGGCCGTCTGTCCTGAGCCTGGTTCTGCTGGAGGTTTCTTCCTGATCAGCAGGGAGTTTTTCCTCTCCACCATTTGCTCAGGATGGGAGACTGTGATGAAGTGATTCAACACAATCTGCTGGCTTCTTATTTAGATTGTTCTTTTTTATGTACAGTGCCCTGAGATATTGTATGTTGTGACTTGGTGCTATACAAATAAACTGAATTGAACTGAATTATCAATTTTCTACTAGAAAGCTACATATTTAAGATGAATCCCAATTAAAAATCTTGACAAAAATCAAGGCATTTATGTAAACAAATACCCAGATAGCTCAAATAAYTGAAGCAACACTGCAAACAAGTCTGAAAAAAAAAACCACCTTAATTTGAAAAATTTTATTTAACTTTATTTTCTTCCTTATGTAAATGCTAATAAACTGAATTCATGTCTCAGTTTATAACWAAAACAATTATTTTAGAACACTTCAGACCAGAAGACAAAGCAATAACTCAGAGAGCAGAAGTGAAACATCAAGGCACAAGATTCCCAGAGAAAAGTCCAACATTTTCCAAGTAACAAAATCAAACTATTACATTTTCCACTGCATGTGCATAAGCCATTTGAAAAGTCTCATTCCAAAGTGYGAGCCATCTCTTAACCTAGTAAAACAAGTCATTTCCAGTGTTAAAAAGGAATCCACACATTGTAGCCAACAAAAGACAACAATCCAAAGTGGTTCTGGCAATCTGGGGAGGTGTTCCAAGGGTCTCAGACCACCAAACAACATAACACTTAATTCTTGTGATCCTTTAACTTTCAYCTGGCTTGCTTCCCAGTCATGACTGACCCTTCAGACCTACCACAAAGTCAGGGCTGACACTGCTGCATATGCTTCCACACAGAAACACTGTGATGCACTTTAGCACAAAGGGGGGAAAAAGAAGTGAGGAAACAGACATGAAGAAATGCAAATGATCCAAATTTACTGGCTGGCATAAGAAAACAAGTTCCACTTTGTCAACTGAAGAACATTTTATAAGCCATGCTGGGTATTAGTTGTGGATAAATATGATGATGAGGATAAGGATTGTTTACCATRGTTCAACTAACCACAACTCAGTAGCCAGCCAAGGAAATGCATTTCTGTGTATACATTATGGAGTATGAACTATGATTATTACCATATCGAAGGTAGAGAAGCCAGAAAAAAAAACATCTGAGACTAATTTAGAATAAAAGATTAAGTTCACAGAGRCTTATGAAGTTGCTGTTAGAAAAGTAAGAGTTTTTCAGCAGCAGCCTTTCAGTTCAAGCCACTGTGGTGTCAAACACAAACAGTTTAAAGGCGGATAAAAAGTAAAAAATTGAGAATGTTGCTAAACCTTCAGTTGTGTTGCAGCAATCTCCCCTTTTTGGTCTGTGGCTTCTCTAATAAACAATTGGGCTACAATTTAAATAAAGTGGTCAGCTCAATAATTAGTGCAATATTTTTTATGACACACAAAGCCCATTTGTTCTGTCTTTTATTTGACCGCACAGAAAAGGAAAAAGGAATTACAGCAGACATATTAGTGCAATCAATAGAAAAAAATGTAGAGATACTAAGTACACCAAAGAAGGACTGATTTTTATTTTTATTTATTTTTTCAGAATCAAAACAGACAAATTATGCCTTGGTTCCTGTTTGTAAAATGTGAATGTTTACTGGTATTTCATTGTGATTGTGCTTTCAGTTTGTTTCCTCACCTTTACTGCGCTGGCGTTATTCTGCGAGCCTCGAACAACACCTGTGGCCCTGTAGAGGCGTGTCGGGGGCTTGAAGGAAACTGTGAGGTTGTACGTCTGAGAGATGTGCTGCACGGCAGGCGAGCTGGGGTCAGCCTGCATGATGGCTGGAAGCTCGAAAGACAGCACGAGTGGCAGCAGCTCCTGCAATGTAGATAAACAGGAAGAGGAGAAGGAAAAACTAAAAAATAAATAAATAAAAATAAACAAGCGGCATTTCTCTATGTTTCTTGTAAACTGAAAAATTGCTAGGGAAGCTGAAGTGGTGCAGTTTTAAATGAGTTAGCTTATAAATAGATAATAATTAGGGAGAATTTTTCATTGGGGGTGTTCATTTGAACCGCTATCAGAATAGGGCTGAAATGACTGACATGACTGAAAAATGAAAAACTCAGAAGACTCGGTTAATCACGTTTGTATTTGCAAAAAAGTTATCAAGCTAAAAAAAATGTAAAAGTAAAGTTGTCTCAGGCAACAACTGTCTTGTGCAAAAGTGATGAATTTTATAAAAAAAATGCTCCTACAATAAACCCATCCATCCATCCATTTTCTGTACACGCTTCTTCCTTTTCAGGGTTGCGTGGGTCACTGGTGCCCATATCCAGCAGTCACAGTGCGAGGGGCGGGGTACACCCTGGACAGGTCGCAAGTCCATCACAGGGCCACACAAAGAGACAAACGAGACAAACAACCATTCACTCTCTCACTCACACCTAGGGACAATTTAGAGTTATCAATTAACCTAACAGTCATGCTTTTGGTCTGTGGGAGGAAGCCGGAGTACCCAGAAAGAGCCCACGCATGCACAGAGAGAACATGCAAACTCTACCTAGAAAGGTCTACATGTCAATAAACCCTGATCCAAGTAATGGTTATCTTAAAGTGCCTGTGACATCAACATTTTGTAATAAACATGAAAGCATTTTTGGAAAGAGAACATTGATAAAATATTGCAAAAACAAATTTCACGTCACTGAGATGAACAGCTGCTGAGGTACTTGCATGTGAAGAAACAGGAAGTGATGTCAAAGGGGAATGTCTGCATGCAAACATAGTGTTGTTACAACAGCTAACAACAGAGACTGTGGAGAAGAATCTGATGTTTCTTTAGATTATTTTGAGTTTCTATCAAAGAGAGATGAGGAAGAGTTAAAGTTTAAATAATATTGTTTTAAACAAACAAAGACCAGAGAGTTTATTTTATTAAAGAGTTCCCTTTTGATGGCACTTCCTGTTTCACTTTGCCTGAGCCAAATCCAAAAGAAAATAGGCCAGTTATGAGACAAAATATGTAAACAATGTGTATTATGTCAATTTTCTTAAGAGTAAAGATGTTTTCTTTGACCTTTTGTATTTGAAGGATAGGCATGTCCCAACTTTAACACACTCCAAGAAATTAATTTTGGATTTCTGCCTTCAACTGAGAACTCCATACAATACCACTTCTAATAATGTGATAATGATGATATGCTATGCATTGTCATCAATGCATGTTTCCTTACAATGACAAAATTTTTGCTCTGCATTTGACCCATCACATGAGATACACCCAAGTGGTGCAGCGGGCAACTATGTTAGTGGCTGGGGAGCAGTTAGGGAATGGGTGTCTTGTTCAAGGACACCACACCATAATGGCAAGGTAGGGAATTTAACCTGTGCCTTTCTGGTCATAAATTGGCTGCTCTAACAATGCACCACAGAAGCCCCCTTCTACAAAATCTATCGATGCTGCAAGAACTCGATTTTGTTCAAATAAAATGACAACACATAGAGCAGCTTGTATTATATTTTGTGCCGTCAGTCAGATCTCTGAAGTGCATCAAACAAAAACAAACCAAAAAGGGGGATTGCTTTATATGTTGTACAACAATAGTTATAGACTTATGAGAGCTGACACTTGGACATTAACAGGTCCTTCCTTTAGCCAAAGGTAATCGAACTAGGAATATAAAACTGTATATTTAAAACCAGTGACGAGTATACAATACAATATACAGGCAAAAGTGAATTGCTGAAGTACTGCACAGTTTCATCAGTAACACACTTAAACAGGTCCTGCCAAAGAAGGTTATGAAAATAATGTAGGGATTTTTCGGCCATTAAGTATTATGGCTACAAAGTAATTCAAAATTAGGTTTACAGTTTTGAAAAACATTAGCGGTCTTTGGCCTGTTCATTCTCACACAATAAATTCATATCACTAAATAAAACCACCAGACAAGTAAAAAAAAAGAGGGACAACAGTTCCTGTATTTGGTACCAAAGTTGTCATTCAAGTTAAGTAGACGCTGCCTGGAAAGCTTCAACTCATGCAAAGCCATGCATATGCATGCACAGGAGAGAAATTAGACTGGAACACATCCATCCACATTTAAGCTGAAGGGGATGTAGGAATACACACTAACGGATGACTACACACAAGCACATACACACATTTATCCAAACAGTGACTTTTGGGCAGAGTGCCACTATGGTTTTGGCTGCCACTTAAGGGCAAGCTACATGAATTGCTCTGACCAAAGAAATGCATCCCTGATCACTCCCATATGCGCTTGGCCTTACATTTATATCATGTTTCAGCACTCGCTCTCTGAGGGCTTGAAAAATTTAGGTCAGAATGGAGGAAAATGCAAGAAAGGACAAGCAGTGAGCAGCAGGAGTTGGGCGCTGAATGAAGAATTGACTGAGCTTTATGGCGGGGCTGACTACAGTCTTTGTAACAACAACCAAAAAATGTCTACCAGGCAAATAAGAGTTTCATGCGTATTCAATCAGAGGGTGTTGTTTGAAAGCTTCAGTTCTATTGACACAAAGCAGAAAGATGAAGAAAAATGAAAAACTCTTTGAGGTAAAGCAACTGGTTGGACCTTTCACCACCTGCACGTCAGCTCCACCTTTGAATGCTACATGAAATCTCCTAAGAATCTCAATGACTGAAACAGATCTCCATCCAACATAGGTCCAAAAATATGGTAGACTGTCAGTCCCCTGACATTATGGCTGAATATTTAGGAGGAAACTACTTCCACTGCTAATGCATCAAAAGCAAGGGTGTCACACTCATTTTTATCAAGGGCCACGTGAGCATTATGGTTTCCCTCCATGGACTAGCTGTAATTAGCATTAACTAACACAAAACGTCACGTTACTCTTCTCATTGTTAGCGTTGCTCAGCCACAGCAAACAATAACTGAGCTCTCTGTAGTATTTTGTGCTTAGAAACAGTGTTTTAACTTGTCCTCATAATCACTAAGAAGTACTATGAACAAATGTGAGATAAATAATACAGAAATACTATTGAAATTAGTTAATGAGTTTTATTCACTGATCAGTAAGCAGAAGTCGTCTTGAATTCTGAACACTTTCCAACAGGGAATTCCCACTGGAGCGATGTTCCAGTTTAAATTTATGGCTTATAGGTGGAAAATTCCCACTTCCCAGTAGAACTGGGCACAACAAAATTAGCTGCTGAAAACACAGCAAAATGGAAATTCTACATAGCAAATTTCACTGGTTCCTTAAACCCTGTGCACCTCCACCTAGTGGTGGGAGGCTGTCATTTAGTGGGTAAACTAATTGACATGCATTATGGGAGATGTAATTTATAGACAATGCTGCTTTAAAGCAGAACATGCTTATTTTAAGACAACACATCTTTGAAGCTCTTTTGGACCTCATAAAATGCAGTGGTGGGCAATGTTTGGCCCGTGGGCCTTRAGTTCGACAAGGCCCAACAGTCATTCATCCATTCATRCACACATTCACTGATGATGGTAAGCTACATTTTAGCCACAGCTGCTCTGAGGCAGACTGACAGAGGCCAAGCTGCCATGCACTGGCGTCAACGGACCCTCTGACCGCCATCAGTAGGCAAGGTGAGTGAAGTGTCTGGCCCAAGGACACAACAACTGAGACTGATGGAACAGGGGATCGAACCGGCAGCCCACCCATTACAACTCCCCTAACCACTCTGCCACAGCTGCCATGTGATCAAAACTAAATGTATGTGGAAACATGTCCTGATTGCATCTCAGTAATCCAGGTAAAAAATCAAAAAGAAAAAAATTGTATAGGTCATCTGGACGGGTTCTTCTTCTAATGAAACGTTTCGTCTCTCCTCCAAGAGACTTCTTCAGTCTGAGAGTTTCAGGCAAAATTCAGGCTTTTAAGCACTGACTCCATGTGACTGATACTCACATCACATGGCTATCGTTGACACCAAAGTGAGTGATACTGGCAATGGCAGTGCTGTAGGAGGGGGACAACTGAAAACGGAGGCCTCCACCTCTGTTTAATGATGGACGGTCTTTCTTCACAAAAATGGCTTCTTTTACTCCTCTCTCAAACCAACGTTCCTCTCTATCAAGAATGAGAACATCCTCATCTCTGAAAGAGTGACCGCTGGCCTGTAAATGAGTGAAAACTGCAGAGTTCTGGCCATTAGATGTAGCTCGTCTGGGTTGGGACATTATTTTGAACAGTGGCTGCTTTGTTTCCCCGATGTATAACTGGTCGCAGTCCTCCTGGCACTTAACAGCATATACAACATTGCTCTGTTTGTGCCGGGGCACCGGATCTTTGGGGTGAACCAGTCTTTGCCGTAATGTGTTTTGGGGTTTGAAAGCCACTGGGACATCATGTTTAGAAAATAAACATCTCAGTTTCTCCGAAACACCCGCAACATACAGAATCACCACTGGTTTGGGTCTGGGTTTGGGGTCTTCATTTTCACCTGAAGGTTGCATGGAATCCTGTCTGTGTTTCCTGTCTGCTTTCAGGAAAGCCCAGTCAGGATAACCACCACTGCTCCAGGGCCTGTCGTGTGTGTGATTTCTCTTTCTCCCTGGCTTCTGGGTTTGTAGGGACACTGTCTGCTCTGTGGTACAGAGTCCTGATCACTCCTAACGTGTTCCAGTGGGTGGTGGGAGTCAAAACGCAAATATTGGTCTGTGTGGGTGGACTTAAGATATACGCCAGTTTCCAACCGTCCTCCATCCGAAACCGAGACATCGCAACCCAGGAACGCCAACCTGCCATTTTTTACTTCCTCTCGTGTGAACTTAATATATTCATCCACAGAGCTGATGTGATCAGTGAAATGTTGGACTTCCTGGGCTTTAATTTTAACCCAGTTGTCATCAACATATCTGAACCAATGGCTCAGTGGCACTCCTGAAAAGGATATCAAGGCTCTCTTTTCCACTTCCTCCATGTACACGTTTGCAACAATAGGAGAAACTGGGGATCCCATGGCACACCCATGTTTCTGCCTATAATATTGCCCCCCGTACGTGAAGTAGGTTGACTCCAGGCACAGTTTGAGGAGTTGGCACACTTGTTCTGTGGAAAGTGTGGTTCTGCTGCTGAGAGTGGTGTCTGATTTTAATCTCGCACAGACCACCTCTACTGCCTTATCAACAGGAACGCATGTAAAGAGCGATGTAACATCAAAAGAGACCATGGTTTCATCCGCCTCCATGATGACATCCCTCACCTTGTCCACAAAGTCCATAGTGTTCTGTATGTGATGTTCTGAGCTGCCAACTAAAGGACCAAGTATAGACGTCAGATATTTAGAAACATTGTAAGTGACAGAGTTGATCATGCTAACAATGGGTCTTACCAGTACATCCTGTTTGTGAATTTTGGGTAAACCATACAGACTAGGAGTGGCCTCACCTGGGTAAAGTCTATGATACAGAATCCGATTAATAGCCTTGTCCACCATTRTTAACAATAGGTGTTAATTAGGTGTCAATGATAGCCATGTGATGTGAGTATCAGTCACATGGAGTCAGTGCTTAAAAGCCTGAATTTTGCCTGAAACTCTCAGACTGAAGAAGTCTCTTGGAGGAGAGACGAAACGTTTCATTAGAAGAACCCGTCCAGATGACCTATACAATTTTTTTCTTTATGAGGAAACATGATTTAATCTGAGATCATATTTAGACCATGAGTGTTATGTTTAGAAGCAAGTTGCCTTTGAAAAAAGTTAATGCTTAATATTTTTTGATAACTTCCAAGAAAATGTAATATCCTACATTTAGGTGAGGGCGATATCGGCGTTAAATGTAAGAGAMGACACTAAACAAGAGTGAAACTAGTTCACTTATTTAGAGCCCTGAGCCATATTTGTGGCTCTCCACAGATTGAACCTCTTTGCATAAGACTGGCATTGGTGAGGTTTAAAAAAAATTAAAACAAATGAACTGGGTTATGCCTGGTTGTATATGAAAACACCCATTAGACACGAAGGGGTATGGAGGCATGCCAGCATCTGCCAGTAGACACTGTAGAAACACCTTGCATGACCTCCCTTGTCTTTCTCTTCAGCAAACACTTCCCTCACTCAGCCATTCTCACAAGCAAACACAGCCTTGTCGGTTTTGGCCCAGCCACAGCCAAGGAGCACGCTCGCTGTAGCCACTGCTGCAATGGTGAAACACAACAGACATTCAAAGATGTAATGGCTCAAAACCAGCATGGAGGTCCTCTGACCACTGAGGCTGAATTCCAGTCAGACCTAAACTAAAGGTGGAGAGGAGGTTTGGAAATGGGCTGGAGCTGGGCTTGCCAAAWGGGCTGAGGTTAATATTTGAAATTTACAACTGGTTTGAGGAAGTGGTCTGAGAATAAGCAGGGAATGGTGCTTGTGGCTTTGAGTAAATGTGAAAACTGTTGACAGGAATGCAAATATACCTCTGTTCTACTTTAAAATTAGATAGACAACTTGGGAATTGATCGATTTTTTTGCATATTTATTGAGTTTTAAGCACTTTTAATGAATGCATGTGTATAGATGGATGAATATATATGTAGTCACCATAAATATGTGCATGTAGTGCGCTTATGCCAAAAAAGGCAACTGTGAAATGGAAATTGATTTACTTAAATCTCGATGTTTGTTCAGGTGCATTAGATTCATGTGTTTATGTATCCTTTAATGTGTAGATATGAGTGATTGTAACAAAAAGGGTTATACAAGGGTCAATATAAATTTACATTATTATTATATAT